GGCACCCTAAAAAAACATATAAAGGCTGTGACTGAAAACAAAATGTAAAACATTCAAAGCTGCTCAAGCTGAACATTAGAACCACTGGTGTAAACCAATCACAGAAGAGTATTATTGGCTTTGTATTTTATTTTAATGAGTCGACCTCACAATATTTAGTGAGACCAGTGTTATAACCTCATAGCCGGATCTTGTCAGAAGTCAGAAACTCAACAAGACTGGGCTTAGTCTGTACTGGGATGGAAGGTTGCCATGTTGTTGCTGGAGTGATGCTGGGAGACCAGTAGGTGACGCTCATCACCATGGTATGGTATATCCACACCAATGCCACAGTATGAACACTGTGATGTTGGTGGTGCCATAAAATGATAAACTCTCCAGTACCTGTCACAGGTGAAAATCATTTGGCAGTTCATTAGAGCAGTGATGTTAACCCTTGTGATTTAAGTAAATTCCATTTTGGGTATTTTTAACCCCTTTAATTCAACTGTTGAAGCGTTTCTCACTTTTCTACCTGATATGCTGTGCAGTAAGGCTGCTGGTAACCCCCAGGTGTACATATACTGTATCTGGCACTTCAGGGGTGTTTGAAGTGGTCTCTTCCTCTACATAAATCATTTTGGAATTTACAAACATTGGCTTTTCCTTTGAAGTACAAAACCCCAGATGGATCTCTGTACTCTATTTTCTCTTCTTATGTTGCACACCATTAGTATAAATATAAATTCTTTTGAATGCTCTTCTAAAATTCCTCTGCTTCCAGAAGTGCTCACTTGACGAATGAAAGAAATTTGCTGCCAGACAATAATAAATTCTCTAATTTTAAAGGCAATCCAAGTAGTGAATAGAGATTTACAACCAGTTCTCTACCTTTTATTTTCCAGTATCTTTAATCTCGCTAATGCATCTACTTTACTGGACTGCTTCAGATAACAGCAGTGAATTTTAAAAGACATCTCTTTTTTGTGTCAAAACTATAATCATAAGAAATGGCATTGATCTGCACAAAACTGTCTGCATTTATCATGAACAGACTGGCATGAATGCCAGAATTCTAATGCATTTAAAAGCTCTTCTAAAATAAAATAAATGTACAACTTATTTTTTGAGGCCAATTAGCTGTATTTTACTTAAATGAGAATTTTTGGATGTTTGGACTTCTTAAGTTTCCATTCACCCTAACCTCTGGTCAATTTATTTACAGTTGAAAAATTACCCTTCTTATTACATTTAAAGATGAGATTTGTTTTGGGGGAAAACAATTTCCAATCAAAAGTTTCTCTTCAATGCCAACATTTGCATGTACACTACCCTGCAAAATTATTTTGAAATGGAAATCACAAGATGACGCAGACACATCCATCCATTTTATAGCTGCTTCATCTAAATCAGGGGTCAAGGGGGAGCCAGAGCCTGCCCTGGCAAGCAATGGGCTCATGGTAGGATACGCCCTGGATGGGACACCAGTCTGTTGCAGGGCAGACAAACAGACACACACACTGACACCCAGGGTCAATTTTCCCAGAAGCCAATTTCCAGTCTTTGGAAACAGAACCACATGGAGAAAACACAATCACTGGGAGAGCATACAAACCCCACATACTGTAGATAGCACACAAGGCCCAGAATTGAACCATTGAACTGGAGGCCCCAGCCTGCACTGTAAGGCAGCAATGTTAACAACTGCATTACTGTGCCAAAACTGCATATACATTTTTTAATTTTATGTTTTATTACAAACCTGACTACTAAGGGTAAATTAAGTTACAGTAAATGTCAAGAACAACTACAGTCTTTTTTTGCACACCAGCTTGGTGCACTTTTTGTCAGATTTGTTCATCTTGGGACCCCTTGTAGACAGCTGTCTCTGAATTATTTTCACAGATTCTCAATAGGATTAAAGTCACACTTTCACAGGCTACTAAAGGATATTTACTTTCCTATCCTTAAACCATTGTAGCTTTGGATCATTGGCCTGCTGAAGGGTTCATTTTTGTCATGGTTTTAGGAGCAAAGTTGTCCTCTCAGATTTGTCAGTATTTTGCTCCACCTATGTTGCCATAAGTCTTGACAAGCTTCCTAGTACCTACAGATGACAAGCAGAACTATAATAACATAATGTTGTCATTATCATGCTTGACAGTAGGGATGGTGTTGACTGAGTGGTGCACTATGGTGAGTATAGCATCACTATGTAATGCTTTGCATTTAGAACAAAAGGTTTATCTTGTTTGACCACAAAACCCTGCTGCATGTTTGCAGGATCACTTAAGTGCTATGTATTACACCACATGTGGAATTTGAGATTTTTTTTTCAGACAAAACCTTTTTGTGGAGTGACCAGGATACTGTTCACCCACTGTTACCCAAGACACTTTCTCCCAGGCTCTGAATTCTTTTTGCAAAGCACTGTATATCTTCTTATATCTTCTGAGATTTGCATGAAATAATGGCAACAGTTTTTTTCCATTAGATTTACAATGTCAAAATCAATTTGCTTCAAATCAATTCAATACATTTGCTTTAAAAATCCATTAAAGGAGATTCCTTCATTTCGTTCAAGTTACTTCCAGTGATACTCAGCAACCCTCTTTTATCTAAACACTGCTTATTGCTGGCAAGGGTCATGGCAACCTATAGTCTATCCAGAAATCACAGGATACAAGCCAGGGCTTTATACTGGATGGGAGGCAATTCCTTCACAGGACATACAAACACAAGAACAATTAAAAACACATAGACTTATAGCTAGCATGTCTTCACAAGGTGAAAGTAAACCAGGGTATTCAGAAGAAACCCAGGGGAACTTGAAAACTCCACACAGAGGACACTCACATCTTGAACTGAACTCAGGACCCATACATACTGTATATTTTTATATTTTTGGTTTTGAAAGCTAATTTGGATAGATGTAGCTCTATCTGTTAGGGTTCAGTTTCTAATAGAAGTTACATTTGTTTACTGCTTGTAGTAACATTATGTATACATGGTTAATCTAAATTGATAATCCTCAAAACTTTTGAGAGAGATTTTCTATCCAAATATTTAAACAAATGTGTTAACATGGAATATGATATCCAGAATATAATTTTATACATTATTAAGTATCACTTGGAAAACATGCACTTTATGCTTCATTTAACACCTACATTTTCACATTGGACATTATAAAAATATCAATTACACTATGCTTTGAACTTTGATACAAAGATCCAATAAATATGATACAATAAACACATCACACACATTCACCAATGCCTGAGAACCACACAGTGTCTTACAAAGAACTGGATGCTATAAACAACATACAGTACATAATACATACCTCTACAGTTCGTATCTGCATATTGTAATTACATGCAAAACCATACAATTATACAAAAGGTATTACAGTCCTGTGTATTAAATAGCTATGTTGACTGTTTTATTACCAGAGTTATCTGCAAGAATGTTATATTGGAATGAACATTTCTTTATGCATCTAACTGCTCATTTTAAGAGGAATTGGATGGAATAAAAAGAATGATAAATGTACATCTGAATATTACGAGTGTCGTAATTTCTTATCAGTTTATTTGAATTAAGTGGAAATTGACCCAATCAAGGTACAGTACTTGTCAGAGCACAGGCTGAGCTTAATGGCCCAATATTGCCAGTTCAAGTCCAATCATAGCCACATAGGACTGGGTTTCCCCAGGATGCAGTGATCAACTGGCAGAGTGCAACAGACAACAAATTACACGCAGATAAGCTCTAGCAATTGACCTTCCCCTCCTGTTGGGTGATCTGATGAAGATGAATGGCTCTTATAGGTGGGCGTGTTGGAAGAGTGTGTCTAGAGGTCTTTCTTTACAGGAGTCATTGAGCACTCAGTTTTGAAACACCTGGCAATTCCAAATCGGATTAGTGTAAAAGTAATAGATAGTGATTTGAAATGATTCAAAACACAATTAAGCGGTGTAGATAAAAATATAAGCACACTTAAGGATGTTCTTTTTTTCCCAGTGGGGAGAGCTTGATTATGTTATGTTCTAAAACTCATTAAGTATATTTATGTATTAAATAGTGAGCTCTTAAGCGTAATGACATGCTACTGAGCTGAGCACAGCACGCAAGTGATGTGGTGTTGTAGATAGCTAGAGACACTGGGAAGCTCAATGTATAGCGAAGGGCAAACCCTAAGTCAAGTTTCAATCCGAATCAAATCCACACACATGGAAACACAGGCTAAGTAACAAGGAGGTAGACACAAGGAGGTAACAAGCCGAGGGAATCCAGGAGAGAAGTCAAGGATACAAGCAAGGGTCAGAGCTGAGAAACATACTGAAAGCTAACAAAGCCAAGGGGTCATCTGGGAGATGAGTTTCCAAGTAAGCAGAGCTCAGTATTGCGAACGAAGTCCAGCTAGGGGGAAATGCAACAGGGCTTTGAGGGGATCAGAGCTGAAATTCAATGACAGAGCCGCGAGCTCTGACAAGTCTAAATATTTATTTTGAAAAACACCTGGAACGGCCATGGTCATGAACCATCTCCTGGTGCTCCAAGTCATCAAGTTAATTGGTTTCCGCAGCATCTGGCGCCGGGAGACAGGTTGACAGGTTGAACTCACTGGCTGCTGCGTGAAAGCGAACTCTTCCCTCTGCATGGCAGTGGGGGCGGACATACTGTAGCAGTAAGCAGTCATATTGAATCCAAAAAAGGTGCAGTAATCCATCAAATTTACAAGCCCAGGTGAAAAAAGTACATTTCTTCAAATTCAGAAAGCATGTGTTAACTTGGGGAAAATATATGCCACATAAATGGAGATGGATCAAAGAAAAAAATGGACAATAACAATGTCAGCAGCATGGTAATGCAGCTCTGTTTCCTTATGGGTAAAGTGGAAACTTTCATTTAAATGAGGAATGACTGCAGCATTCGCTAAAATTTTCACCAAGTACTTTTTCACCATAACGTGGTGTCAATATTTTACCTTACAGTTTTATTCTCTTTTGCTACAGGGCCGTATCTGCAGGAAAGCTGGGAAATCCAAGAAAGCCTTCAGTCGTAAAGAAGCAGAGGCAACCTTTAAGAGTCTGGTGAAGACCCATGAGAAGTATGGCTGGGTGTCTCCCCCCGTGTCTGATGGCTGACGTGGCCACATATTTGTGTCGCAAGACTGTACAACCTACCATCTTGTCCTCAATGCTGCGCATCTCCCATCCTTTGTTCTTTTAGTACTTTCATCTAGGTGCCATGGAGCACATGGTGACATTTAACTTATTCATGAGCAGATGTGTTTACAGCTAAATATCGCCTTTAGTGGATTGTGTTTCAAAACTGGATATGGCTCTACGGAACAGATAGCCCTGCCGATGTCAAGTTGTTGCCCCTTCCTTCCACCTGACCCACTTCATCTCGTGTGCGTTTGCTCTCATTCTCCCTACATGCCAACAATGTACTGCACTGAATGGCATCAGAGTTTCCATTCACCACTGCTCCTCTCATTTAAATGCAAATGAAGCCGTTAATATTTAATAGACAGGCAGTGCATTTGAGGTTCACTTTTTGCTGTGCTGTTTTTCACAGGTCAATGCAACTTGAAGATTGTAATTTATGTGGAGCTGTGCTCTCTTTCTCTCTCTCTCTCTTTCGTGGCTAAATTTAGACATCACTTTGTTGTGTAGATGGCCATTGATTTCCAATGAAAAAACACAAAATGTTGCTTATGCTGAGGTACTGTAAAGATAAAACCCAATGGCAATTAACCACTGTTCTTTGTTGATGTTGAAAAATACCAATAACTGTAATGCTGATAATTTAGATACCAGATAGATGGATTGTTTAAGAGCAAGATGCAAGAGGCCTGACATTTAAAAACGTGAAAATTGTCCCTTGAAAACGTTTGTTTAATTGAAGCTCAGAAATGAAAGTTTAAATATAAAGTGGATAGACTCTTTCATAGATAGGAAAGCAATCCTACATTTAATAGGATTTGTTTCCCTCATTAAGAAGAAATAAGGTGGCATTATATGTGATTTGCATTAAGCTTAAGACAACTCCTAAAGTGAGAAACTCTATCAATAACTGCAAAAAGCATGAATCTACAGTATAATTGATGCCATGTCTTTATTTTTAATTGTTTTACATCAAACGGTTTGTTGCTGCACCTCTGGCAGTAGTGTTGTGAATTGTTCTTGTTACTCATGTTCCTGTGTGTATTTTCTCTGAACTGTGGAAATGCATTAAAAAGAGCTGCAGTGAACACTGCTGAATTGCAGAGCGATATTCATTTCAAACACCTGCATATTCAAATTCAGAAAACAATAATACAAAATTCAAACAGTTAGGTAAAACCAATCCAGAAGGAATTATAGAGCTACTATGTCTTTGATGATGTATTGAGGCTCTAAATAGTCCAATTATTGGTTAGAGCAGACTGTGTTAATTTTAGGTCCTTCTTTAGGTCTGAAGGACATATTGGTATTCCTCAGTTCATCTCAAATTCCCTTTACCTACAGTATGTACAGATACAATATGTGAAATTACCACTTAGGATGCAAAGCTAACATCTATATTTATCTCTCCCTGTAATTCTTTATTAGTTTTGTTCAAATCATCCTACAGACTAATCAAGGAATATCAAATGTAGTCATTTTTCTTTTTTTCCCCCAAAGTTGAAATGCATGTGCTTACCTACAGTATGGTATCTCTGTTTGCAGTGTAATGTTGGATACTGATGGGATTAACAGATATTTCCGGTCAAAATAAAGTCATAAAAATAACAGCACACCTCAGGTTTATGGCCATATCAGAATAAAAAATAGGAAGTGCTTAACAGAGGTATTTCCATCCAGTTTTCTAAAATGATTTGATGTGATAAATTACACTTTAAATCCTATTGTTGAGAAAGATGTTAAAAAGATAAACATTTGTACCATTAAAATGTTTCCCTTTCAAAATTAAATGAGCATAATCACTTTTGAAATACACAGTTTAATATATTCCATGTATGCTGTACATTCTTGTTTTTATTATATTGTATCTTAAACTAAAAGAACATTCTGTCTTTTAAGATACATTAGTCCATGTGTAGTAACAAGGCCATTTCCTGTCTGATCAGATAGAAAATGAAAACAGATTTTGTTTGCATGGGCAATACCAAAGACAGGAGGGAATGTCCTACCCTTCCTAAAAACTCTTAGGACCTTCAGGAGAAACCTTAACAGGGAAACAGCCTCACTGCCTCAGTAAATGGATGCTCTTTTATAAAGTCACTTCACAAATAAATGCTCTGTATTAGACTCTCTAGATATTCACTTATGATGTGCAGTGCTCTGTCTTACTATAATATACTGTAAATCTAGCTTGCATTGGCATACCACATTACAGACCTGGTCTCTCTTTTATATTTAAGACTATATCTGGTGTATTAATCCAACAAAGCCAATTGTCAAAACAAAAAAATGGTGAGTACATTGTACCCTTTATTGATCTCCTAAAAAAAAAGAACATCAATGTTGTGGGCTTAGAATTCCATTAACAGTTCCATTAGCAAAGAGAGATGCTGCAGAACATTGTTGGTATTTGAAAAAGGAAATTCCTCCATTTGCATCCATATTCTTAGAGTCAAAACATCTGGGTAAAACCAGACCTGTTCCTGCATGATACTTTAAAAGAATGTAAAAATAGATGTTAGCTCCTGCAACTTTGAGCAGAGGAACAATTAGTTTGTGGTTGATGTCATCGCACTGATATAGCATTGAGTACAATCCATTATTTATTTTACAGTGAAAAAGCATGTGCAGAAATTGGAACACTTCCTAAAACACATTGAATGACACAGTATTGTTTCTGCAGGATTCCAATTGGAAGTTTGTTTTCATTATTTTAATGAGACAATATCAGCAAAGGCATATTTTTCAGCTTTTACATTTTGCAAGTACAAAGTTTAGAGTGCCACCTATATTAAGCTTTTTTTTACACCAGGAAATGGGGCTTTTCATGGTTTGAATTTTTGGAAACATCTGGTATCTAAATGCACAGCAGTGCTAATGGGTATTTCTCAAAAATGAATCTATATGAAACCAGTCATTCCAAAAGTGATTGTATGTGTTTCTAAGGACTTGTATTAGGGATTATTATGATAAAGTTAATAATAATAAAATGTCAAAATATCAGAAAATTGGGTGTTTGCTGGATTAGGAGCATAATTTTGTGATAGACTTTAGAATGGTAGTTTGCAGAAACAAATTAAACTAATTGTCTGAACAAGTGAGATGATTCTGTTATCTTATATCTGCATGTGATCAGTGATTGTTATTTTCTTGTTTTAAAAAGGAAAAAAAATCAGCAGCTGCTTCTTCGTTTTTGTTTTTGTTTCTTGTTTTCATGTCCTAAGCTGTGTTCTGTCATGTTGTATTATATGAATTTTTTGTGTTTAATTTATTTGTGGTTTGCCAAAATGAACTTTTTGGAGCATGTCACGGGTATTCTCACAGAAAACAAAATGAATGAAATGTACCTGAACCAAATGAAGCCTGGTGTCTGGGTGATTTAGAATGTTGTCTTCATTGTAAGAAATAAACTATAGGATACAAAGGATGTTATATTCACCTCACAAAATCACAGGTTTAGAGTAGTGCAAAATCAGGAATGTGCAATAAAGCTATATAGGCTTATTTAACCCTGGAGAAAAGTATTGCTTTTTCATGATTTCCTTAGTTTTCCTTTTGGGATAATATGTCAGTTTTGAGTTGGCTATGATTTGTTTTATGGCTATGATTTTTAGAGGAATGTGTAACTATAAAGGAAAATATCGCAACATAAAACTGATTCAAGGTTTCCTGTCTAAAAGTTTATTTTAAAATGAATTGTAACTACATATAAAGAATAAGTTGTTTTAATAACATTTTTTTTATTGACTACATACAGTTACAGGGCTGTATTCATGCGGATGCAGAGTCTATATCTTTAGTACATCTAGAAAACTTAATTAGAACATTAACTGGGCATATTGTGTAAACATAACAATGTTAGACGTCCTAGAAGTAGCCAAGATATAATGAATATGAAGGAGTTTATGTTTATGTTTATGTTTATGCATAATATTTACAGTGTTCTGTTACTTGAAAATGTGTCACAACATTGGTGAAACACAGTGAGACTTAAATCTTTTTCTCATATAGAGTCCTTTGTACTGTTACAGAACTGGGTAATTACACTAAATTGTTCAGCTGGTTTTGTGAATTTTAATGGGTCAGAGCATCATATTCTACCAGTAGTACATTTGGGGGAGAATCAAATCACCATTTGGATAACTCAGTGACATCTTGATTTTACTGTCACTTTGTTGCAGCATTAACCATAAGAAAGGCATAGCTCATAAGACTTCTTCAGTTTGCACAGCAATCTCTGTCGAAAGTCACAATAAACTCTCCAAGTTAATCTTAAAGTTCTTGTATTCCAAATAAAACATTTGTTTGTCTATTTTTAAAATAAATACACAGTATACACAGGGTGGTTGACATGAACATAGTTTTCTCCCTTGCCATATTAAAAACATCATATTTTAAATATGGTGTTAATGAGTTAAATCAAAATCTTATTGTAACAATTTGGGCAATGCCAAATTTCTTTCTTTCAATAGCAGACCTGGCTAATATTCCAATGTAGAGGAAGTCGTTTCAAAACAGAATAATACAGCAACAAAAGGCACAAGAAGCTTTGGGGCTGCTTATTATGCATAGTATTGTCAACTGTCATTGGCTGCATGGTCCTCATGGAATATCTAGAGGAACTGGTGTGTCTAGTAGCTGTAATTGTGGCTAGAAGGGAACCAACATGCTATTAGGACATTGTTGTTTCTTTGTTTGAAATATATAATTTATCTCAGTTTCCTAATAAAAGCTGATTTAATCAGGGCCATAGGACTAACAGAGAAATTCGGAGCTCTTATCTGATTTAGTGACTAATCAGTCGACAAGAGCACAATTTATTACCTAGGATCCATTGGACCGCTCAGCTAAAGAGCTAAGAAGATTAAAGGTATAGAATTATGGATAGCAAAGCCTTGCTCCATTATTTTTATCCACGACTTTCCCTATTGTCGTGACGAATGAAGCTGCACTTGGATCCTGGCTGAAACAAAATTGCAAATAACAATTTTTCCACAACCAAACATGATCTAGAGTGTGTCCACCCAATTCATGACAACAAATTATTCGAACACTCAAACACATTTTGTGAAAAGGGGATTTTCTTTCTAAGGTACAGCAGTTTATTTTGTATTTGTACAGACGTTTACTTGCTTTACAGAGCTTGTGATATATCTGTCAACAAATCCATATTCTGTACTTTTTGGACTCCTGACACTTTTGCAGCAGAGACCTCAAATATCCATAGGAGATATGAAGACCTCACAACCTTTCTATTAATGTTGAGCAATAAGTCATGTGCTCTGATGTCTTTGGTCCTTGCAGGAAAAACAAGTGTTTTGCCCCTGGAATTACCAGTGCGTAATTCCCTTTATAAACCTTTTAAAACTGCCTTCAAGAATGCAAATGAGATTAAACCACTTGAGGATCCCAACAAGTAAGTAATGTTTTTCATGTTATATAAAGTGCTTTGTATTCCTCAAAGTCACTATCCTTATAATTAAAGTCTGGTTTGGTGACACTGTTTTGTATACATGCGTACAAGAAGAATACAAAGAGAAGCTTATCATGTGAAGCTTTTTTCCACTATAATAATTTTCTTTCTTCATCTATAGCTTTCTATTATTTTCCTTACCTCTTTTCCTATTTGTTCTTATTTCCCAGAATTTTCATTAGCAGATGTATTATTTTTCTATATTCTCGTATAATAATTTACACATCATTATGCACTATTATCAAAATCCTATATGCCTAATATCTCCTGGTCCATACATGATGTACGAGCAGACAAAGGAAACTAAAGGAGACAAGATCACCTTTGGTTTGAGATAAAGAAGGACATTGACTTGTGCTTCAGAGAAAGGTCCATGAGGGCCATTTTATAAGTCAAAAGGCGTGACTCTAAATATTAAACAAGCTCTAAATATTATAATAAATATAATAATATTTTTGGTGCAATATGAACTCTAATCTGTAGTAATTAAAATTAAGTTTTATTAATTCTGACCTTCAAGAGATAAATTGATATTAATGGTAAAGCAACCCAAGGAAATACATTTACATTTTATCCATGCATGTCACTAAACATTCTTTGTTTATGCCGTTACATCTTTTTTAAAATTTGATTTTGGACATTGATTAGTGAATCAGGGTGGCATGGTGGTGCAGTAGTGTGCATTACTGTCTCACAACTCTGGGGCCCTGGGTTTAATTCTGGATCTGGGGTGCTGCCTTTGTGACGTTTGCCTGTGCTCCTTGTATTCATGTGGGTTTTCCCTTGCTGCTCTGGTTACTTCCCACAGTCAAACAACATACTCGTAGGTTATTAAGCTTCTAGCACAATTGGCCATGGTTAGAATGTTTGTGTCCGTGTATACCCTGAGGTGGACTGGCATCTCGTCCAGGGTGTACCCTGACTTGGGTGCATTGCTTGCAGGGATAGGCTCTATCGCCACAGTGACCCTGAAAAGCTAAAAGATGGATGAACAGATGAATTCATGAATCAATGACTAATAATGAATAATTGATAAATGTAGCTGTAATGTCTTTTCAATCAATCATCAGTATTGAAGTATTTTCTAGATTTACAGTATTTCAACAGCCCTTTTTCCACAGAAATACATTTGTATATGAAGAGCATTTTTCATTTGTGTGGGTTCTTCTGCGTAATAACTCTAAGAATAGTATAAGACCTTAGTTATGCTTGAGAGCTAAAAAGATTGATTTAAAGGTCTTCAAAAATCTTAAATTATTAAAAGGTCTTCAAAAATCTTAAATTATTATTAATTATTAATGTTAATGCAGAAAATTGAAGCTAACTCTGAAAAGAAAATACATAGCATAAGAAAACATTCATAAGTGACAACACATTTTTTAGCAGGAAAATGCCATAATAACAGTAGCAATGCCACATGTAGGTAAAATTCATTATGCTAATTAACATCTGTGATCTGTGCTTTGCATCTGGTTGCAGATAATGTCTAATGGGATTCTGTCTAATTCGTTTTGAAAGAGTCAGGACAAGCGTGTGAGTGCTCACTGGTCTCTGAGTCCTATGCCACTCATCATCAACTATTCCTATAACTTTTCAACAAGAGAGAAGAGAATCCATGAAATAACTAACATTCTTGTTCTTTGTTGTTATACAAGCAGCAGAAGGATGTGTGTTGTCCTGCTGAAACATTGTCACATCAGGATCAGCCTAAAGTGGGGTAAATGAGGTCTCAAGACTAGCACTGTGCTGTCAGGATACCCGTAATTACTGTAAATGCAGTTCTGTAGTGAATAAACACTCTACTCACTCTGTTCTGTAAAACCTTTTGAATGTCATAATGTTTATATCCTGCACTTATTTTCATTAGTCAGGGTGGTCATTACAAACCCTTAATTCATCACCAAAAAAAGCTTCGCTCATCTGCTGTTGAGTCCATCTGAAGCATTGGTCTCATATATTGGTTGACATTGTTGTGCACATTTGTCCATGTCCTTGTCTTTGTTAATTTTGTTGTTACCAGCAGCCATATCACTCTGCAACTCACAGCTGGAAGCCCACTGAAGCTCAGCAGGTGTGAGTCTGGTCAGTACCTGGATGGGAGACCTCCTGTGAAAAGCTAAGGTTGCTGCTAGAAGTGGTGTTAGAGGGGCTGGCAGGCGGTGCTCACCCTACACTCTGTGTGGGTCCTTATGTCCCAGTATAGCAACAGGGACACTATACTGTAAAATGGCGCCCCCTGCCTTCGGATGAGACCAAGGTCCTGACTCTCTGTGGTCACTAAAAATCCCAGGGTGTTTCTCGAAATGAGTTACCCCAGTGTCCTGGCTAAATTTCCCACTGGCCTTTACCAATCATGGCCTCCTAATAATCCCCATCTCTGAATTGGCTTCATCACATCCTCCCCACTGATAGCTAATGTGTGGTGAGTGTACTGGTACGTTGTGGCTGCCATCGCATCATCCAGGTGGGGCTGCACATTGGTGGTGGAGAAGAGTCCCCATTACCTCTAAAGCACTTTGAGTGGAGTGTCCAGAAAAGCAATATCTAAAGTAGAAGGAATTTTGTTTTTCACCAGGATTGACATTAAAGGTTAAATTATCTCATTACCTGTGCCCAATCAACTCTCTCACCTATGTTTTGTTTTCAATGCTTATGAAAAAATATTATGATCAATTGAAACATAATGATGCCAAAAACATTTA